CCTACACCATGAATCTTTTCTCCAAAGAAAGCTCCTTCTCTGAGGGGGAATAGGAAGCTCCACATTGTAGCTATCTTACCCTAGCATTTGTTCACTATCAGCTGCCTCTCAGTAAAACTTTCTGACCAATGGGTGGCCATTCTGTGTGACCCGAGGTCTGATCTTTTTCAGAACTCAGGACATTACAAATCACTTGAGGGAGGTGCCGAGAATTAACTTTTTGTCAATTGCTGTTTGTCCCACTGGATGGGTGCTTCGGTGGTTCAGTGAAGGAAGCTGACACACCTGCCTCATGTGCGGACTCCCAATTTGAGCCACTGTCTGAGCAGTTGGACCAATGCCTGGCTGAGAACTGCTCTGAATGTGAACCTTCCTGCTCATGACTTTCCTCACTAAGCTGGGTTTCAGAGCCTCTTTATCTCCTCCTAGATTCTATAAGGTTTAGGGGCACACTTATCTACCTCAGAGAGACCTGACCACAGCCACAGCCCATGACTCTTATGGGAGCCTCACAGAGGGGCACCCTTGCTCTCTTTTCCTTCACTGCAAGTGTTATACTTCACTGACCTAGTGGCCCTCAAGCAGCAGGGATGCCAGACTCATCGTCCCTTGGAGACCTCACCCCTAAGTCCTAGTTTTCTACCTTTTCAAAAATTTCTGGAGTCATACTGCTCTAACATGGATTTGGATTTTAACATCTGCATTGAGAAGACATTGGCCTGTAATTCCCTCTCATGGAATGTCTCCTGCTATATTTAGCATCAGGAATATTCTGATTTGATGTGCACCCCTGTAATCTCACCCTACATCTACATTCTTGAAGAATGTGTAGATCAGAATTAGAAAACATAACATTTTCTAAATTCACTAAAATATTTAAAGCAACTGGCTTGGTAGAAAAGGCAAAATATAAATTAAGAAAGCAAAACTATAAAAGGGATTTAAAAATTAGTAGAGAAACTGTAGTAGGGAAAATGAAAAATTTTAGGGGAAAATATGTGTAAAAGTTGGTTCATGCAAAGAAACATTTAATGTGAACATACCTGAGCATATCTGAACCTGAGCAGAGGCAATGAAGGACTCCTCTCTTGGTGGACAGTAGGAAAGAACATCATAAATACCAGCTAGGCAGGGTGATACACTCCTACAATCCCAGCACTCTGGGAGGCTGAGGAAGCTGGAACTTAGGCTGGACAACTCAGTGCTTACTGAGATCCTGACTCAAAATAAACAATAAAAAAAGGTCTGGGGATGCAGCTCAATGCAAAGGACCTAGATCCAATCCCCAACGATACAACAGCTCTCAAGTTCTCAGGCATCCAACAATATACTTCAAAAGTTTTCTTTAGTCAGAATCAGATAGTATTCATTTAGCACCAGCACACCATCATAGGCTTTGCTTCAGGTTTCAGGATAATTTCCTTATCAGGGGTTGACTAAGCATTAGTGGTTTGTAGCTCTTTAGCTCTTGAGCCAAGGTCATAAGCATAGCCTCCACATGGTCATTTCATTGGAGTTCTCAGCAAAGGTTTCAAACAAAGGCATACTGTGTGTGTTAGCAAATATTTGTGCCAAGTCTGTGGGTACCTCTCAAATCACATTTATTTCCAGTGAGAATCTGTGGTGTCATTCACTAGTAAATGTTTGCATTCATATGTCCAAGATGACAGAAACCAGCCATGTTGGTCATATCATACAGGAAGACCCTACCGTGCACATCCTGGTAGTAGTGCTACACCATGCTCTTTCAGCACTGCTCTTGCCTGCTGTGTCCCATACCTGGATCTTGATGTATTCCCCATCAATTCCAATAGCTTGTACTCAACAATCCACCCCGATGGTGGCCTCGGTGTGGTCAGGGAAGCAGCCTGCACTAAAGCGGCAGGTCAGGCCTGTCTTGCCCACATTGAGTCATAGATCACAATGATCTTGAAGATGCAGGAATGGGCTGGAGGCAGACACTCTGAAGCTGCTGACCATGCAGCTAGCTGAGAAGCTGGTCTCAAGTGATGACCTCATTTCTGAAGACATTCTCCTGCCCCACCCCAAACTGGGGTAGAGTAAAGCAGAAGCAAGAAGGCTGAGGAATTACGCTACCCCACAAGCATGTCCAGCTTACAGCTCCATTGCTAAGCCATGTGTGTAGGTGTACAAGTCTCCCTCGGGACTCAGTTGTTTCAAATGAAGAAAGCACAATTTACCTCATTTTGAACAATTTCCACCTGAGCCCATAAGCACCCTGAGAAAATGTTCTCTGTTCTCCAAGTCACACTCTACAAAAGGACAAAACCCATTAGGAGGTTTTGCTCAAGGGACACAGGTAGATATGCTCCAACTTGAGGAATTCAGATAATCCATGTCATGGGGGCATCAGCCCATAGTCCCTTAAAACACAACAAGCCTCAGGAACAATGGTGATTGTACATCCTCAGTGGTCCTGGGTTCTGAAGAACAGAACTACAACAATGTAAGTCAACCCAAGTTCTGCAGTCACAAGAATGGTCAAACACATAGGCAGCAGGGACACCAAGCCTGTTTTTGAACACACAAATGCCAGATCCTGCTCTCCCAGGGGAGGAACTGTAGCCCCTTGTCAGCAGCCTGGGAGGGCAGGCCTTGGTTATCTACTCCTATGGGACAGGAGTTGTGTCCCAGGCAGCATGCCAAATTGTGGCTCCCTTTGCTCTTGTCCGTCTCCCTTTTGGACAGATAGCAATATATTGTGACAAAGGAGTGAACATATGAAGTTCCAGACAACCTGAGAAGGGAGAGAACCAACCATGCTGATGAAGATGGATGATGGGAAAGTTCACAGTCTACATCATGTTGTCAGCAACAAAATGACCGGGCCACACCTCATCTGTGACACTCCACAGAGAACATACCCACAATCAATAAAGCATTAGCTTCCAGTTTATACACAAAGAAAGTGAGGCACAGAGAAGTTAAATGACTTGCTCAAGGTCACACAGCCAGTGAGGGACAGAGTGGGAATATGAAACAAACCTATGAATTTCTATAATCAAATTGCCTAACCACAGGACACCTGTCTGGGACAATAGTCATGGGAGTTCCTAGGTGTGACTCACTGAGCACCCAGGAAGCTGTGTGTTCTTCCAAGCTACAACAGCAGAAAGCTGGACCTGATGGCTACTACATAGCAGTGGACATTTTCATGGTGCCCCCATGGCGTTGGGAGGGCATCACAGAAGCCCAGTACTCCTTACACTGCTGACATACAGAGTTTTCAGGTTCATAGTTGGAAGCCCAGGCCCTCAGTCCCTCAGGAACAAACCACCACCACACCCTAGCCAGGCCACTGTGAAGCAGGACCTGCAAAGATAAGGAGGGCATTAGAGACCCAAGACAATCAATGGTCTCTCCCACAGAGAGTGCTGTCCCTATCTGGCAGGTGATCTGGTGCCTCCACAGACAGACATCCATAAGCATTTCAGCTCATGCCCATGCCCTTTTCTATAGAGCCTGAAGGCCTGCTAGGAGCAGTGTCCTCAGCAAAGAATTCTGGTATGGTCTTTGTTCCACCTTTTCTTCTCCTTCATAAGTCAAAACTATTAAAATGTTATACAGAAGAAGTAAAGAAACCAAAACTTATATGCAGGCATGCTGGTGCACACCTGTAATTTTGGAGGGTGATGCAGGATGATGGCAAGTTTGAGCCTATCCTGGACAACTTAGTGAGACCCTGTTTCAAAATAAAAACATTAAAAAAAAAGGTTTGGGGGTATTGCTCAGTAGAAAGGGCCTGTATTCAATTTCTAGTACTGAAAAAAAAAACAAACAAAAAACCCCAAACAAAACCCCAAACAACCAACAACAACCAACTTGCCCTGTGAACAAGCTGTCAAGAGGCAAGTGGGAGACAGCAGTGGCAGCAGGGCCTCCAAGGGTTCCCTCCTAGGATAAGTGGGGTCTGGGTAGCCTAGGCCAATACCTACCTGACTGACGCCCCCTTTCTACCTTGTGCCCCTCGTGTATATACAGAGGAAGTCACGACTCTGGTAGCACTTAGAGGGGACTGTTCAGCCAGAACCCTAACTGCAGGGTCATGGAGCCAAGGGAGCAGTGGCACCAAGTGAGGGCAGAGCAGGACACACTTCCACCAAGGCCATATGGCCCTTATGTCCCTCGCCAGGAAGGCACATAAGAGCTGGAGAAGATGCAGGAACCCCAGTGGGGGCCATCACTGCTTGGGCAGGGCAGTTGCTCAGGCCTAGAGACCTGAATCACTTACACACCTTTTCATCCATGAAAGATTTCTTTTAACTCAGTAAATGGGTCACGGCAAGGATGGCATGAACAAGGCAGGGCAGTTTCTAACTGACCCTAAAAAGAAAGGAGAGGAGCTGGTCCTGGCCTTTTCCCAGTGCCAGGGCTCAGGGCTTCCCTGCGCTGGTGCTTTTTAATTCAGCAGCGGTGGGCTCTCCTTGAGCCTGAGGACATGCATACTGGAAAGGGACAGAGTAGACTGCAAGGGACATAGTAGATGGCAGAATGTGAGGCTTGGTAACCAAACCAGGCTATCTTCCAGGGACTAAGGGCAGTACCTCTCTCTCTGCAAGTCTGGGAGACTTTTGCCGCAATCAGGTCTAGAAGCCTCACTGGGGATCCTACAGGGACCTGGGTCTAAAGCTCTCACAGCCGAGGTCCAGCCAATCTCACCCTGGAGCTTGGGGGAGGCTAGGCCTATCTGGGAAGAGTCTACGAGTTTCAGGAGGGCTTTCTCACTCACCAGGCCTACACCTTCCTCCCACTCAAGCATGTCCTGGGATGGAGAGCCAGATAGGAGGGCCTTCCTCCCAGGCCTAAGAATGCTAACAGTCAGGATCCCGATACTGCCAGAATTTCCTTTAAGCAAATCCAAGAGATGTGGGAACAGGCAGAAGCACAGGCTTTGGACCTCTTTGGAGATCAGAGCCCCTCACCCAAGAGGGCGCACCACCTCTGGGCAGCCTCCCAGTCCCAGGCCTGGGGACACTCACGCAAGGTACTCCCTTCTTGTACTTGTTGCCCATTGTCAAAGTTCTTTGCGTTGTCCAGGCAGCAGGGGAGGTGGGTCTGCTGCTCCTCATGCAGGTAGTCTTGACTCAGCAGGATGTAGGCCCACCAGTCAGCCCAATGGAAGTCCCAGTGGCAGGTCTGGCTCTCAAGGGTAGTGAGCAGTGCACCAACGTGTGCCATCGGTACGGGGCTGGGGGCTGTTGCACAGCTCCAGCCCCACAGCTCCTTGCTCTTGAGGAAGGACTCATGGCCATGAAAATGATGAGCCTGTTTGCTGAACTCCAGCACGAGCACGAGGCTGGGGGCCAGCTCCTTTTTGGGAGGGCGACTGGTAGGTGCCATCTTAGAACAATACGTTGCACAGGAGCTCAGTGTGGATCTTGGTGAAGAGCCCCCAGGGGGATGTGGAGAAGAGCAGGATGCCTATGAGTTTGAGGATCTCTGATGGGCTGAGCAGCGGGAGCAATGGATGTGCAACTCATCGGATAGAGTTGATCTCCTGCAGGAAAAGTCAAGGATCTGCAGCAGGCACAGACTTTTCTCCAAGCCCACCACCAAGTGTGAGATGGGCTTCTGTTTTGCAGCACAAAGGGGAGCATCATACCACCAAGGACCCCACTGGATGGCGGGCAGGGGCAGCATCAGTGGCGTTGCAGGGCGCGCTTACAGATCAGATGGAACTGCGCCGGCTTTTTCTGCAGCCCCGGCGGCGCTCTGGAAGCCACCGCTGCCGTCCAGAGCCTCTGCCCCGCAGCGCGCTGCCCACTCCGAAGCCAGCGCTCGCCTCTCAGGCGCCCCAGGGGGGGATTG